GGGGGGTATGTAATTGATTCTACTGGAATTCGATCTCGGCTCTCCGATTCCTCAGTCTGAGTCAAATTCATTGCATTCACTTACGTGCTGTAATAATTTCCGCATGAAATACATTGGAGAAACCTCAAGGAATTTGAAAAAAATATTATATGAACACAAAAGGGATATTTTACAAAACAACACATTAAATGCATTGGTCGCTTACCGCAACTAGACTGAACACAATTTTTATATAAAAATGCTACTCTAAATAAAAAGTGAAAACAATCCACATAGACTAAAATATTTAGAAAGAAGCTTTAATCACTAGACTATCCACAATACATTTGCGTCCAGGTTCTAAAATTTACTACCCCATTCTTGGCAGATTTTCTATTATCACAATGTGAAATATTTAATAATAGACAAAAAAAAAAAAAAAAAAAAAAAAAAAAACAAACAATCGAAATGAAATTGGCTAGATTATATACCCAAAACATAAAAAAAATCATCTTTAAATTTCAAATTCTCAGCGTCGATTGTTCGTGCACATGTGCAATCACATCAATATAAACTTAATCCAGCGAAACGCGCTCACACGAAAACTTTCCCCCCTTAGTCATACATATTTCCCGTAAAATTGTTCTTGTTAAATAAACATTTATATATCGTTGCCCCATATATACAGAATCTGCCAAAAATGTATACACACTTCCGGAAAGGAAAACTGGTCTTTCGCAGTTTTATCAAGTTGCAATAACACTGTGGACTGTTGTACAATATTTTCTCAAGATATGACGGCTCTTAGACAATAAATTGAAAAAGCATGTGCAGCAATCCCACTGGTGGCCATCTTCAACCAAGCAATAGTTTGTCATTGTAATAAATATCTGGAAGCTAAAGGCCACCATTTTGCGCATTTTTGGTGATTCTAAAGCCCTAAAGTAACTTGTATTAATCTTGTGATATCGGAATAAGTTAAGTATCATAATATCTAGGCAAGATTGTGTATACATGTTTTGGAGTCTCTTTACACACACACACACACATACACAAACAAAAACACACGCACACACATATATATAAATACACACACACACACACACACATATATATGATAGTAATTTCTAAATTTAATTACTAAACACTTCAATAAAAAAATCCTCTAAATAAGATATTCAACAGGAAGTCAATCAAAATAAACTACTCCTGCACTGATAATATGTACCAAATTATTAATTCCCATAACAATTACATTTTAAGTAAATACCATGGGAAAAATAACTGAATCTAACATGGAAACGCCCTGTAATTGTAGAATAAAGAAAACTGCCCAGTAGTGGGCAAGTGCAGATCCACTAGGGTAGTATACAAGGCAGCCCTTACCCCTGAAGAAAATATGACAAACCATAATATCTACATCGACATTTCTGCAGGAGGATTTAATAAGAGAATCATTACACATAGACTTTCATTCAACAATACAAAATTAAAACACCAAACAGCCCTTTCGAAAAAAAAATTGGGAATTGAAAGAAAAGGGTCTGTATCCTCAAACGAATTGGAAAATTATAGTTTTCGCGAACACCACCAATAGTTTTAAGGACAGATGCAAGCTATGTTTAGAATAAAAATCAAGATAATAAAATATAAAGATCAATGCGAACTATTAAATCAACGGAGAGAACTAATCACGAAATGTAGACATAGGAATAGATTCAAAATTGGGGGTACAATGGCATATATGTATGGATATGTAAATGTACATATATTTATGTATGAAGTGTATAATTGTGCTGGACAGCATGATTTATTCGAGTCGGTGCTCTAGTATTGTCTATAACTCAACTAATCTCCATTAATCTTAAAGGTTTTAAGTTTAAATCCCCCATCGCTTATCAATAATATTGGACACCTGTAGTACAAAAACTATTTACTGTGAATGCTAGAAAAACACACTTGGGGTACGTATAAGAAACCCTACATAGTAGGAACTGATATTAAACTACAAACAATATATCCTGGCTATAAATAAACTCCAACCCCAGACCGCTTCACCCGGAATAAGATACCTCACTCTCATTAACAAGACGTTTACCAGAGAAGGAATGACATTGAAAATAAATTTAAAAGAATACTCCGAAACAGACACTTAGGGGCTGATGATAACGTACAGAACGATTTGAAATAGACTATCAGAACGGATCGATTGAAATAGACTATCCGACACACACACACACACGGACACACACACACACAGACACACACACACACACAGAGACACACACACACACACACACAGACACACACACACACATTATTATATATATATATATATATATATATGTTGGCTTAATATATATATATATGTTGCTTAAAATGTATGATTTAAAACTTCTAATATTTATTTATGGAGAGAGGTGTATGATATTGGAAATACTGCGTTTGTAGATCAAGACAGTGAACATAGCAATCAACACTACATGCTGGCAACCAGTTTCACGTCTGAAGCGTACTTTAGATGGTCCGAAGATGGTTTGAGGTGTAAAACAGTCATGATGCAGTGTTGATTCCTGTCCACACTCCTAAGCTTTTACACTCACACACCACACACACACACACACACACACACACACACACACACACACACACACATATATATATATATATATATATATATATATATATATATATAAACGTAGTACATTAATCACTGGTGTTTATTTTGTTTTAATATACACCTTTTCATTCACAGCTCATCACTGACGGCTTTTCAATCATCATCCCAATATCTATCTATCTATCTATCTATCTATCTATCTATCTAGTTATAACACGTACTTAGCTGAATTTGGACCTGAATGATCCACTGGATGATGTTAGATAGATGAGATTAATATTTATAAATGAAAACAGTTGGAATGTTCAAAATTATCTGTTTCTCAGATGATTTTTTTATGATTGGACTACAGATTGTATCTATTTATCTATCTTTGTGTATATATCAGACTTTTTATTATCTATCTCATTCTTTTCATTATCTATCTCAGGTTGTTCATTATCTATCTATCTATCTATCTATCTATCTGGTTGCCTGCATCCTGAATTTGTTATTGCTTTTTACTTTTGTCACATTTTTTTCGCTATTTTTTATTTATCGGTTAAGATATCTATACATCTAACTGTATTGATGATTAATACTCTTCGTATCTTTCTTGGATTGTTCTTATATATGCCTTTATATATCCATAAAAAATATAAAAAAAAAACCAATCTATCACTCTTACATTGAATTCTCTATAAAATGTATTAGATTAATTTGATCTATCTATCTATCTATCTATCTATCTATCTATCTATCTGAGTCTGTTTCATTATCTATCATTCATCTATCTATCTATTCAGTCTATTCATTATCTCCAGTCTATCTATCTATCTATATCTATCTATTCATTCATCTATCTATCTATCTCAGTCTGTTCATTATCCATTCATCTATCTATATCTATCTATCTATTCTATCTATCTATCTATCTATCTGAGTCTGTTCATTATCTATCTATCTATCTATCTATCTATCTATCTATCTATCTATCTATCTTTACCAAAACGTATCTACAAGTATGCATATCTCTCCTGGAGATCATGTTTTCATATTTTCTATCAATGTATCACGAACATTAATTCATATTCACACAAGGAAAGCAGACTTCTAAACACATTTCTGCACAATCACGCATGTATAGGCAATTTGAGATAATCACAGTTACAACTGCACAATATATGCATTTTGTTTAGGCTTACGGCCATAATAACGTTGAAACACCGGTTTCCGTATGATCATTGAAGTTAAGCAACCTTGAAGTCGGCCAGTACTTAGATGGGTGAAACCTTTGGAAACCCAGATGCTGTAAGCTTTGTCTGCGCTTGTTGTAATGGATGATGGCTCGGAATCAACTGGAAGGCTGGATTCCAATTCCTGTTGGGTTCCTTATATTCACTTAAACGTAAACACCCTTGGGAAATATCCGAATTCGCCTCTTCTTCCTCCACCTCCAGATTAAATAGTAAAACTTGTATCATTACACCATGTATCGTTTTAAAAAATTCCAATATGAAATTAAATCTAAACATATTTCCTGACTTTGATAAACCGTAAAGATGAATGAATCAGTTGCGTTTTTGCGTACAGAGACAGAGAGACACGTTATTTCTGTTTGAATTTATGGGATGAGATGTTATCCTTATTTGCATTATTTATAGCTTTGTTGTTATTATCACAACGTTTCGGTCATTGTGCCCTCCGGCATTCATCAGTTGGTTGTTGATCCGGGTAACCTACAGCGAATTTCGAACGGAACCCTTAAGTTTGGAGTGTTGTCGTTATGCTGCAGATGTTTTTTGGATATATAATCTAGTTCTTATTTTATAAATACCGGAGCAGTACTAAGAATAAGAACTAGACGAGATATCCATAGAGAGTATCCCCCACGTAGATTAAATAAACGGTTCTAGGAGCGATATTCCCCTGATGAAGGCCGGAGGGCACAACGGCCGAAATGTTTTGATAACAACAACAAAGATGAGGACAGATGCCTGCACTGTAAATAACGTGTGTATAAGTATTGATATAAGTATTGATTAAATACTGTAAATAAGAAAGACACGTGTATAAGTATTGATATAAGTATTGATTAAATACTGTAAATAAGAAAGGCACGTATAAGTATTGATATAAGTATTGATTAAACACTGTAAAATAAGAAAGAACGTGTATAAGTATTGATATAAGTATTGATTAAATACTGTAAATAAGAAAGGCACGTGTATAAGTATTGATATAAGTATTGATTAAATACTGTAAATAAGAAAGGCACGTGTATAAGTATTGATATAAGTATTGATTAAATACTGTAAATAAGAAAGACACGTGTATAAGTATTGATATAAGTATTGATTAAATACTGTAAATAAGAAAGAAAGGTGTGTATAAGTATATATCAGGGGGTCGATATGTCTGTTTTTGCAATTACGGATTTCAGAAACAGTTTCGAAATTAAACGCCGGAATTTCTTGCATGTTTAACCGGGATTTATTTTTCATGTCTACGCTAATGTCTCTAATATCAAAATCTTTCAATAACTCCCTTGGCGTTTATCCTTGTGTTACGCTTCCAGCTGACCTAAAGTAGAGGGTGCTCCACAGAAATTCAGAAAATTTGGTATATTTTATTTAATTGTTTGAATTTTTGTTACAGATATTTGAAACAAGAACAAATGATACAAATTTAGTAGCTTTAAAAAATATAAATGTTTGTTGTGGTGTTCAAAATACTTTCCGTGTGCAAAATTCCTTAGCATTTTTACAGTGCCCAAGTTGGATGTTCTTACTTAAAGAGAACAATCACATCGCGTTGAATATTTGAAAATCTGCGACATTCTGAAACAATAAATGGTTAAAAATTTATATGTGAGTTATTATTTTTTTTTATCTGTCTATATTTCTGAAATGAGGTACTGTAATTATTTATATTGTTCGAACTGTTGTCCTCATCACGTCCAAGCTCACCATCTGGATTGGAGCTTTGACGTGGTGAGTTTGTGCTGTTCATAATGACGGTCGTCTTCGAAATAATTCACTGCTAACCTCTGGATTTTATACTCGAAGACGACCATCATGATGAACAACATTGGTTATGAGCCCAGATCACGACTATATTTTGACGGGAATGAATCGAGATATGAATTATGGGAGACGAAGTTCTTAGGCTACCCTAAAATACAAAAACCCATGACATCATATGAAGCGAAACGACCAGAGGGGGGTGATTTTTATGAAAGAAATGCGACCGTGTTCGCTGAATTATTACAATTCTGATTACAATTCCTGGATGACCGGAGTTTGTCTTTAATAATGAGAGAGGCCAAGGACAGTGGATGGTGAGCTCTTCAAATTTTGCGTGAACATTACTTGTCAAAAGGTAAGCCTAAAATTATTGCTTTATATACTGAACTAACCGCATTAAAGAGACGAGAAAATGAATTTATAACTGATTATATTATACGAGCTGAAAATGTCACAAATACCTTAAAAATTGCAGGTGAGACTATCTCGGATGGGCTGCTAATAGCCATGATCTTGAAGGGTTTGCCACCGTCATTCAAACCAATCACGACAGTTATAACTCAAAAAGATAAACAATTAACATTCACTGAGTTTAAAATGGCATTAAGTAGCTATGAAGAAACTGAAAAACTGTAACAATTTTTTCACCAAGGTGCCAACCGAGGAGACGCAATCGGTAGCCAGGAACAGACTGGCTTAGGGGAACGGGTAAATCTACCAATAGATAACCTGATGGAGATGCTGATTTTCTGTACAGAAACAGCATAAACAGAATGGGATCAGACATATATCGACAGGATAAAGGGTTAACAATGGGTTCACCATTATGTCCAGCAATTGCAAACATATACATGTAATACTACGAAGAAATGGGATTTGCAACCATATCACTACAGCCAAACCTATGGCTGAGATACGTATAAAACACCTTCATTTTCTGGCCACACCAGAATGAGGTCCGGCTACTACTGGACCATGTGAACTCAGTAAGATAATCGATTAAGTTCACAATGGAGATAGAAAACGACAACAAATTTGCATTCCTGGATTTTACTAAAATATCTCAGACATGGGTTTAAGACATCCGTATACAACAAGTCAACATTCATCGGACAATGCCTCAACATCAACTCCAACCATCCAATATAGTGTAAAGAAAGAGATCGTCGGCAGCTTACAGCATCAAGAAAAATCATTATTTGCGACCTTGAGACATATGAACAAGAAATGGTCAATATAAGCATTACCCTACAGAGTAACAAATACGCTAGGCACATGTCTGACAGACTGGTATACAAGGATACAAGAGGACAATAACACTCAGAAAAATAGCTTCGGTCTAACTAACTTATTGAAGGGATTATCGGAAAAAATACAAAAGATCTGTGGTCCATATAGTATCAGGAAGACCTTCCAAAGTTGTTCGAGACTTCGCAGGCACCTCTTCTGAGTAAGCCCCCCCACTTCCTATTAGAGGAGAATATAACTAAGGGCTGTGTGTTCGCCTTCCCGTGCAGCTGTGGTAAGAAATATAAAGGAGAAACAGGCTGTTCCTTTAAGGTAAGTCTGCAAGAACTTCGTAAAGCTGTAACACGATGGGAAATAGAAAAATCAAGAGTAGCTGACCACATAGAGAGGGAAAAGGGAGACCACTGACCCCTGTGGAAGGAGGTTGAAATCATAGACAGAGAACATCACTGGAAAAAACGAAAACGTATGGAATCAGAACATATGGTACGCCAGAAAATCTTCTAAACCGGGCAAGCATAGAAATGGATAAAATATGGGAACCGGTAATACGGAGTGCTAGAGAAAAGCAATAACAACAACAAAATTGCAGTAGGAGCACTGGTAAAAAAAAAAAACGGTTTATGAGGTATTAAGCTAGAAGTCTTAAATTTCGTACATTGATGTCCTCAAGGACACATGTTCTAGTGGATAACAGCGTTGGTTAGATCCGGTGATTTGACCCAAAGAGTTATGATTTTAATGCTTGACTACTGCAGTGTTGAACAAAAACTTGGAGAGTTAAGTTAAAGGGAGATAACCCTGACATCCGTAGAAGAAGTGGAACTAGACCAATCTTCCCCGGTGGACAACATAGAATATTCAGTTCTAAATTCCAATCATCTGAAGCAGGTCGCAACGTACAACGGCTGAAACATCGACAATATGGCAATGGGGTCAACAGTCCGAATAATGTAGTTTTTTTTAGTTCATTCATATTCTAAAATATAGTTATTTTTTATATGTTAGTTATTTTTTTCATCATATAGCAAATCTAAAATTTATTGAAGGTACAACTCATCTGTCTTTGGGTAGAGTGCGGCTCGGTTGAGTCCCTGTCTGCGGACAGTGACGCGGCTGAGAAAGATCAAATACTCAGATGTGCCCGGTCCAGAGGAACAGCTGCCCGGGGCTGTACCCATTCTCATTGCACTGGAGAAGAGGAATCGGTAGTCATATCTATTCCAGCGCAACCGACAGTTGCTGGGAGTAGGCAATATTGGGTCCTGGCCCGAGCGAGTACGCTCGGGTTCCCCACATTAAATCCAACCTTGTTTCATATCACCTTTTAGTATGGAGACGAGGAAAATAATGCTAGGTACGACTGATTTTCTTTTCAAAGAAGCAGACGACAACATTGTGTGGTATGTTGGGTTTACGATAAACTTAAGTTTATTTTATTATATTCAGTAATTTTGAAAGTATTTTTATTACTATAGACGATATTTTTAGTAGGGACACGTGTTTGAGTTGATATTCCTGTTTTGTATTTATTTCATTAAACAGAATTCACTATTTAATAAAATAAAAAAAAAAACAATTAGAAATTGCAAACCAAACACGTGTACCCATTAAAATAATATTTATCGTAATAAGAAATTATATATATTGTAGAACAGGATGTTTGAGCGATAAACATGTCAGCAAGTCACTTTTGTTGCCCTTTTGATTTCACGCGGTTTCTCTCTATATGTACATAGTCTTTCTTTTTGCCTTTTTTATTCTTTCTTTCTTTTTTCTTTCTTTTTTTCTTTCTTTTCACTTTCTTACAAAAGAGATACACATTTCTGGAAGTCAATTTTGTGGCCCTTTTGCTTTCACCCTGTCTCTCTCTATATATGTACGTATTCTTTCTTTCTTTCTTTCTTTCTTTGGTTTCTTGTTATTTTTATTCATTAGCTTTCTTTATTACATTTCACTCGATGTAAAATCATTTGTTTTCTGTACATATTTTCCTTTTCTTTTTTTCCTCCTCGCTCTCTATTTCTCTTGCACATAATCAGCGATTGTTTGTCTTCCTCTCCCTAGATATGTATTTATTTTTCCATTTCCCTTTCTCAAACTATATACAGGTCCACTTTCTTTCTTTTTTCTTTTTTTTTCTTTTTTTGTTTTTTTTCTCTACCTAATTTTCATTTTTTTTCTTTCATTCTATAGGCATATTCATTTTTCTTTCTTATTTCTTTCTATATACAGTACATATCCATTTTTCCTTCTTTTTTGTCTTTATATAGAAATATTAGTTTTTAAATTCTTTCTTTTCCTTTCTAGAAACATGGTCATTTTTTTCATTCTTTTTTATTCCAATATACATACTGTGTAACCCGGATATAAGAGAGTTGTCGGGACCGGAGAAGAAGTCTCTTATATCCGGGTTTCTTATATATTTGGTCTATTTTATATACATTAACACAGGCTCTAATTTGGGACCATAGAAAATCTCTCTTATATCCGGGTTTCTCTTATATCCGTTTCTTTTATATCCGGGTTACACTGATATTATCCGTTCTTATCTTTTCTTTCTATATACATCTTAATTTTTTCTTTATTCTTTCTTATTTCTTTGTATATACAATATATATTTTCTTTTTTCTCTCTATCTCGGCTTTTCTTTCCCTATATTGTCTTTTTCATTCTCTTCGCTTTTCACCTCTGAACTTTCTTTTCTTTTTATATATATATATATATATATATATATATATATATATATACCTTTTTGTATTTACTGCTCGATCCCTTACTTTAATTTTCATATTTCATATTTATTTTCTTTGCTTTTACACTTTCCCTCCCTCTGTTTATTTTCATATACATCTTTTATTTATATATATATATATATATATATATATATATATATATATATATATATATATATATACTTCATCGACGAAGTTTTACAAAGCTAGTCCGATGGATTCCTAAGAAACGAAACGCGTCACACTAAAACTTTTCTACTTTGTCATACATCTTTCCTTCCAAACTCTTCTTGATATATAAATATTTTTATATCATATATATATATATATATATATATATATATATATATATATATATATAATGGAATAAATCAAACAAATATTTTCTGTTCATATAGATACAAGTTATTTAAGTAAATGCTATGTTTTTAATTAAACAGTTTTAATTACATTAACCGGCTTGAAATTTTGTCGCAAATATGCGTTCTCCGACATGAATCGAGCCTGAATCACATACAAAGACAGTTATTTTGACTGACGTGCTGATAAAAGTTCAGCTACAGAGAACGTATTGTTAGCAAAGTTCAAATTACTGCTTATAAACACAAATATTCGACAATCTTTTTTGATATATCATTTCTGCTCTGGAACGTAATCTAACGTAGACAATGATAACATAGCATTTTAATAAATGCTCTAGTTTTCGTGCTTCAATTTAGTCAAAAAGCCTACTAATATATATCAATCTTATTGCCTATATTGTTATGATTTTGTTGTCTATTCCTCAAAATTCATTAAACGGCCTATTAAATCTCTCTCTCGATATCGATATATATATATATATATATATATATATATATATATATATATATATATATATATATATGTGTGTGTGTGTGTGTGTGTGTGTTCTTTATCTCATTCGGTGTAACTATATTGCTTTCTACCTAAACTTTTAATTTTGATTCATTTTGTCTGTTAATTTGTTACGTTCCAATGTATATTTAACAACACATATGATGCTTATTTTGTTAAAAATTAAGTAAATATATATGAGAGTAATAAGGAATATTTGTTGGTTCAACTATTTTATATTAGAAATGAAAGACCTGTGAAAACTCAAATAATTTTTTACGAGAATACTGAAAATATTTTCGATTCCATTGTAAAGTTGAAAGTGAAAGTGAAAGTAGGCAGAAATCCCAAAGAAATACTTTTCGCTTTCTTTATCCTTTTTGCACTCTCCCTTCAGCTTGTATTATTCAGCATTTAATTTTGACAAGTTGATAGCGAAAGTGAAAGTAGACAGAAATACAATACTTCGCTATCATTCCCTTTTTTCATCTCTCGCTGCAACATTTAATTATTAAAATGGCTGGATTGTAAAAATTTCAGAGGCATGTCAGGAAGCCACGCAAAAAGAGGATCAACCTAGAAATATCGAAATGGCTGGCTCCAAGAAACTACTGACAAAAATAAAATAAGATTGGATATTTGCGGACGTATTAAAAGAAATATAACATGAGATAAGTAAAAGAATTTTTCACCGATTATATAAATACACACATTTTCAACTGGTCGTAGTTATTCGACTAAGAATACTGGCTCGTCTACTCATATCTACGCTGTGGCCACGTTTAACATAATTGGGAAGTATAGCGGCTAGATATCAGAAGACACCTCTACTAGTGAAATTAAATACCACTTTTCTTAACACTTCCGCTGCTAACTACGGAGATGTTCGTTTTTCTTCTCTTGCTCCAGCTGGCTAAGTACGGAAACCTACGTTTTTTTTTCATACCGCTGGTATGAGTGTCCCTTTGCGCCATCTATCGTAAAATACGGGAAATTCTAACTGTTCTATCATGCAAATTATTAGTCAGCCTCGATTTTTCTATACGTCATGGTAGTTTCGTATCTAATTTGAAAATATTCCTGACGAAAATGTGGCTAGCATACGGATGCTTCCAGCGCCCGTGACCGTATGTCGAAGGGCACCTAAAATTAATCCTGCCAATCGCCTGGTTGGTGGAATGAAAGCTCATGACTTGGTAGAAATTCCACCAACCAATAAGAAAAGGTGCCCTTCCAAGCCATGCAGGGTCTGCAAAAAAGCTGGAAAACGTTCAGAAACAAGGGACTTCTACAAAAAGTGTGAAGTCCCACTCCACAAAGGGCAGTGCTTCAAAAGATATCATGTGTATACCCATTACTGATGTGGTAAGTCATTCCCAGGTAGATCCATGAAAATGGAATGCTGTAAAATACACTGGTGCTAGTTTTCTGTGTAATAAGATATGTGGGTTGAAATTTGGCATTTTCTTTCAAAATGGCTGGCCGGATGGGGGCAGCACTGGGCAAATGAGTAGCAGTGAAAGTGTTAATTCAAAAGCGCTGATATATCCTTTTCTCTTCTAAATTGTGAGTCATGGCATTTACTAAAATGTATTAACTTTCTGTATCAAAGCTCTGTCCATTTACACGAATATTCTAAATAGTAATTCTTCATATGAAAAGACACATTCGAAAAATTAATTTTCATAAAACGCCTTGAAAAAACTTTGGACTGATATTCGTAACCACGTTATTGAGAATTAATGGATAGCGGCTCGGAATGAGAAATTCGAATTCCGGTCGAATCCATTATATTCCCTTACATGCTAATATCCTTGGAAAAGATATGAAACCTCTTCTTCTCCCCCCAGCTATGGGTAAATAGCAGGACAGATCGGGTTCTATAGCCTTGGATGACAACTGGTCTACCGAAGAAAGAAATGGCAACCTACTGCCAGAAAAAAAATCTGCCTCGACAGTCATGTATCGAAAGATACATGATCGCCTACGCGTGTATCAAGCATGGTATATAACTGACTGACTGATGTTTTTTCTTTGGCTTAAGCCGGTATCGATGCTTTTGCCGCAAAATGTTCTCTATTGTTCATTCTGGCCCGTTCAGTCGCTATAGCGCGTAGGAATCACTCTTTCGGCTCGACTAGCGTGATTACAATTACAACAGACGCTATTTGTTTCTGCAGGTAATTAATGTAAACGTGTCCTCTAAGGGACTAAGTCGTTGTTTGCTGATATAACGAGGCTCCATATAGTTTCTAATAAGTTTGACTCCCATGACTACTGGCGACTCTGTAATAGCGTATTAAATATATATTCTATTTCTCCTCTCTTCACTAAATTTGAGATGTTAACAATTTCATTTTGATAAAGTAGTATTTTGTGCTCTTAAATTCTCTGAAAACATCTGCTCTTGACTCATCTGAAGTATTTTTGCCTGACTTTTCACTAAGAACCGAATTTCTCTTGAGTGATATGCCTGTAACTCCTTTCATATTTTCTGCTATCATCTCTAATCTGGATCTTCATGAGGAACTGATGTGCTTCCGAACTGCCTCCTGTTCTATCTAACCTCTTTAATAAATGCCTGGCCGCCTCTTTGTTACCTGGCTGTTGGAAATGCTCTTTTGTAGTTCCAGTCTTTAAGAACTCAGATGAATCATCTGATCCGTCTAAGTACTGGTCTTCTATTAAATTACTTGAAGCCCTAATCAACACTGAATTTGTTAAGCATCTCACATCACATGGCCTTCTTTCAGACAAGCAATATTGATTTCACTTCTCTAAGGTAACTTCTGATGTATTAACGATTGTTGAAAGAGTATTTAGATAAGAATGTTGAAGACCGGACTATTGCTTTGGACATCTTGAAAGCATTAGACAGTCTTTAGCATACTGTTAAAAGGTTATGCTATTTCTGGATTAAATTTTTGGACTGATTAGGTTTTTCTTGTCAAATGGCGAAATGAAAGTTGTCCTGAAGGGCCACTTTTGTATATCTTTTTGTGTTAATGCAAATGTCCACAAGGACTCTGTCGATGGACGTAATTTGAACATCTTAGAGTTTCAATAATAGGATGAATATTTCAGAATTGTGAGAAATAATATCAACCTGATTTCATTATTTAGCAATAAATATTTAAAATGTCTTAAAATAATTGTCGGACTTTGTTTATTTCATAATGTGTGACGTCTTTTTTTTTATTTGATACGCCATGAGCAGATATAAATGTATGTGAGAGATTCATGGAAGTAAAATTCGACTTTGGTTAAAGGCACGTCAAGTTAAATAACGGTTCCGTATAGCGTACAGGTTCGTATCCTGACGGAGTACGAATATTTTCTGTGAAAATTTCTCAGACATACAGGCCGGTAAATGTTGTTTATTATAAACAGAGCATTTATTTAAATATTTATATCTATAAAAAGAATGTTAGACATAAAAACACATAAA